CTGGAGCTCTGGAGATTTCTTAAGGTGCCCATACACCTTACAACCATCGCAAGACTTTTGTCTTGCAATGGTTGTAAGTTAATTAAAAGCTCACTAAAAGCGCCACTAACCCGCCGACAATCGTACGATTCTCGGCGGGTTTTCTAGCATGCCGGTTCGACAAAAGACGCGCGGCCGTACAGTAGAAACGGTCGCACGCCTTCCATACACCTTGCGATTATCGTACGATCGTGGGATTTCCGGCGATTATCGTAAGATAATCGCAAGGTGTATGGGCACCTTTAGAGCTATGGGTGGGATGAAATCTCCAGTCCTGGGGCCAGGTGTTGCCAATGACCAGCCTGGGCTGATCAGGTGGCTGAGAGCAGCCTCATTAGGAAGCCAGCCCAGAGTTGTTGGAGTTGTGTGTGCATGCGTGCAGGAGGCACACAGACATAGGTGCGTGCTGGACACACGAGGAACAGTCGGGTGAAGTCAGGAAGGTCGGTGACCCAAGGGACCTATTGGACGCACTACTGAGAGAGCAGTGTGAGTGCCCATGAGGGGGAGAGGTCGGGAAGGTCAGTGAACCAAGGGACCTATTGGACGCACTACTGAGAGAGCAGTGTGAGTGCCCATGAGGGGGAGAGGTCGGGAAGGTTGGTGATCCTAGGACCTGTTGGACACACTGCTGGGAGAGCAGTGTGAGTATCACCGAGGTGTGCTTGGAGCTGAGGAAAGTTACTGAGCAATACTACTAATACTAATATATGCTACAAAGGACTGTCTTTTATGTTGCTGCTGCAAGCTGACTTGTGTAACGGGAAGGCTACCCTGTGGATGAACAGAGACTTTTTGTGTTTGCCCTTAATAAACTGTGTTTTGCTTGAATTTCCTGGCTACAGTTGAGTGTCCTTGTTACAGTGTATATATACAGTATATAAGACATGTGCATGGAAAAAAAAATTGTTTCCGACGAAACAAATGAAAACTCAAAAAGTTTTCGTTTCGTCAAAGAACACAAATTTTAATGCTGATTCGGCGGCAACGAGGCGCACAAAACAGGTCCTTTCCTGTCCAGAAGGACTCTGACCCTGTCCACAAAGCCAACTCCATAAATACATGGTTCGATGAGTTTGGTGTTGAGGAACCCAAATGACCCTGACCTCAACTCTACTGAACTCCTTTGGGAGGAATTGGAAAACCGAATGCAAGGCATGTTTTCTTGCTGTTTTGGTTGAATGGGCTCACATTCCTATGGACACAATCTCGTGGAAAGCCCTTTCAGGTAAGTGGTTGCTTTGGAATGGGGGGTCCAACAAGCTTGTATAGGTGTGATGGTCAGGTGTTCACAAACTTTTGGCCCTATACTGTATATTTTCCAAATAGTTATCTGCTAGTTTTTGGTTCTCTAAAAAAAAGATGAATGCTAATTGTGCTGGTCTGGTATCGCCCTAAGGGTTATGTCAGATGGGGCCTGTCACTAGCAGCAAACTCCAGCTGACATAACCCTTAGGGCGATTCCAGACCAGCACAATTAGTGTACATCTTTTTGCATGTTGTGAGGGTGAGGGAACCACTTTACTTACCCCAATGGAGGCGCTGGTATGAAATACTTCAGAATAGGAATAGGCAGTGACATGACAACTTACTAGTCCAACCATAGGAAAGGGTAAGTGGTCTATTAGTGATCCTGTTGCTGGCAAGTCATCACTGGTGATAGGCTTGCTCATCAGATATTTTCAACGGTCAAACAATATATATGCGACTGCAATCAAACCCAGGTTCCTGTTTTCCTTACAGTAGACATTGGGGGGTATTTATCAAAGCTGGAGCAGTTGCCCATGGCAACCAATCAGCTTCTATCTTCAGTTTGTTCCATTAAGATTTGAAAATGAAAGAAGCTGATTGGTGTCATGTACAGCTGCTCCAGATTTTGGCTGCGCCCCCTCGCCCCTGTTGCCAGGGCGAGCACAGGGCACCATTGGCAACAGGAGCACCAGGTGGCCAACACAGCCGCGACTCGGCAGGAAGAAGAGGAGGAGCACAGGCTCCAGCTTCTCCTCGGATCCCCGCTGCTCTCCCCAACCTGTATGGGCAGAGGACTCTGTGTCCTCAATCTCTTTTTCTATTTCAAAAGGGAAATGTCAGTGGTCTGTTTAGACCCCCATATATTTCCCCCGAAGCCCCCCCAACAGTAAAAAAAAAACCACACACACACACACACACACACACACACATATTATTAGACATGTGCAAAAGACGAAAAATGTGTTTCGGACAAAATGAACGGAAACTAAAAATGTTTTCATTCGTTTCGTCAAACGAAACAAATTTTTATGCTATATGGATTTGGCCACCAGCGCATTCTGCGCATGTGTGCCCCCATTCTGGAGGCATGCGCGCATCTTGGAGGCGGGGCTCGTTACGTTACATGACCCCTTGCGTGCGCAGCGATGGGTGACATAACACGTCTGTTGGGGGTACAATTTTCTGTTCTTGCCTCGGGCGCAAAAGGAGCTAGCTACGGCTCTGGGTTACATTAACTAATCCGTGTGTGACCATCCTAGTAAAAAAATAAAACGTTTTTTCTTTTACATACAATAGATATTTATACTGCACGTGACATCTTTAATTGTATCAGTGACGCAAATTGCCCGGGCTGGATAGACAATGCAGTAATCTTATTACACCAGTAAGACAATCTCACACATCGCCAGTTCAGCAGGTAACCAGTGATACTTAATGAAGACCAGTTTCACCTTACAGCCATACAGTAACAAAAGGAAAAAATATACACAATGGCGTTTTAATGATCTGTAATTACAATACTCAGCTTAATTAAAGGGATACTCCACCGAAACGTGCACTTTAACAGCTATTGAAAAAAAGAAAACAATACACCGAGTATAACTAGAGAGAACTATACCTGAGGGATGCAAAACAAAGGACTGTGATTTTCAAGTACATTGTCTGGCTATTTTGTCATTGTTTCGTTAAATACATATTAGCAATAACAGTGCGTATTTGCCAATTTCAGGTTGAAGCTATGTGTGTTGGGTTCCCCCTCTGCGTTCATTATCAGTGTTAAAGGAGAGCTATGAGGGGGGTGCTTTTCACTCACCTCATAGTTCTAGCTGACCTGTGACAATGAGACTGTCACAGGTCGGCTCAGTAGATCGGGAGGTGAGCGAACACATACCGGCGTTCGCTCACCTCTCGATCCTGTCCCGGCTCTCTGCCGTGACAGGGGAGGGGCTGGATTCTCCTCTCCCCGCTCCGATTCGCCAGCGCTGACTGGCGAAACGGACGGGGAGGGGGCGGGTACAGCTGGCTCTGCCTCTAGATAGGCAGAGCCAGCTGTCAGTCACGCAGCTGGGCGGATCCAGACATAATTGTCAGGATCTGCTTCAGCTGTGGCGTCTCAGTATACCGCGAGCTACTGAGCCTAGGGTGACAGGAGGACGCTAGTTTGTGTCCTCCCGTTACCCTAAGGAGAACTATGGGGAAAAGCCCTGACCCCATACTTCTCCTTTAAGGTGCCCATATACCTTGCAATCATCGGCCGAAAATGTTCCTCCCAAGATTGGAACCGTCGTACGATTTTCATACGGCTGCCCCGACCATCACACAGTTCATTTAGCGGCCTTTAGCAGAAATCACCCGGACGAATTTCGTTAATCGGCCGCACAGATTTTCGTTTGCGCATGAGCGGTGTTAATCGTACGAATTTTGACGTACGGAAACGCCGAAAATCGTACGATAGACCGAAGTTTTCTAGCACGCTGGAAAGACGAACGTTGTACGATTGTACAGTATCTGCGGTTGTAGAATCCCCATCAAGCTTACGAATAGGAGACTTTCAGGAGTGTAAATGGGGCCTAAAATGTGCAATAATGAAAGGACAAGTCATGGCGATGTGCAGTGGCGTCACGCGGCGGTGCGGCCCGCCCCGCCCCCGGGTGACACCATTGGAGGACTGACAGTCATTTTGCTGTCACCCCCTCTAAAAGTCAGGCACTAGGTCATGGACCGAGAGCCCAACAGTTGCAGGAGAGAGGAGGAGACTCGGTGGCATACCTCATCCCGTCACCCGGCCTCCGGAAGCCCCTGGCGATGTGTACGGGAACCCGCAAACTGTATGCGGCCTCAGCAAATAAAGTGTTTCTGTGACCCAGACGTTTTTGTTTTCAGAGGTATACATAGACTGCATACAACACAACCATTTGGGGAGATTTCCCTTTACTTCCCATTCTAGAGGCACAACAGGGGATGAGAGGAAATCTCTCCCATATACAGAGGACAGCTAGGGGTGTATATAGAGGACATCTCGGGGGTATATAGAGTACAGCTCGGGGGGGTATATACTGCATTGTTGATGGATAAATGGATTGACTGACTGATATTTAGGTTGCTCGAGCACTGCGCATTTTCACAAATACATCTTTTTGTTGCATGTCAGTGTTGCTGAACTCCTGCAACCTCTTTGCAGCCACTTCCGGTCTCCATGAACTCCAGCGGTGGCTGCACAGTATTGGAGGATGGGTTTCCTAATGGTGACAGCGGTGGACCATGCCTGTTGAATGTTTACATGTAGTTGTCATTAGAAACTTGTGTGACAACACAGGAGCGCATTTGGCAGACAGGGACAGAGTTGTCACCCTAAATCAGGAAGTGCCTGTACGAGCACCTTCATTTCGGGATTACCAGAAAATATTTGAATGAAAGCTGCAGATTTAAAATTCCTGGAAACAACATTTGAAATCCCATCTACATACTAAATCCTATACGACTTGAGTGATCGGCTTTACATCTATTTTTTATTTACCAGCCACAAAGGAGCCTCTTGTGTACACCGTGTTGCCTATAGCAACCAATCGGCTGCGCCCCTTTATTTCTAGCCTCCGCTGCCACACATCTAGCTGCAACGCGATTGGTTGCTGCGGGAAACGCCCCCACCTTCTACTCCTCCCGGTGCTCCAGTCGCCCCTGGCAACAACATTTAACCCGTACTCCTTCCCGCCCCCAATCAGAGCTGCCGATGGAGAGCACGTCATTTCCGGCGGCTGTAGGGCTAGGCTGTCCGGAGGAAGCGGGTCGGCCATCTTGGATGGTGTAGTAGCCGCACGGAGGGGGTAAAGCGGTCCATCCGGTGGGGGGGAAGAAACACCGGCGGCCGCCCCAGATGTTCAGGGAAGCCCAGGGAGCCATCCGGGCTTGGCGTACAGCGACAGCGACCTAGCTTGCCTCCCGCCCCGGGAGAGTCTGTGAGCCTCGCCCCAGTGACATTTCCCCCGAGCCCCCCCCCCCTCCCCGGGGCCTGTGTGACTGGCTGCCTTGTGCCCGTTCTCCTGGCTGCGCTGTGTCCATTGAGGATGATGTGAGGCCCCCCCATCTCTTTACGTCCTCCCAGCTGTGTGTAGAGAATGACCCCCCAGGAGCCTACAGGGTGTCTGCTGCGGTGAGAGCTCTGTCCTTCCAGAGACACATCAGTGGATCTGAGTCTGTAACCACTATCACCCCCCATTTAACCCCCCACCACACTGCTTCCTGTATCCGGGGCCATCACCGGGGAGCACCATGTCCACCAGAACTCCTCTGCCCACCGTCAACGAGCGGGACACGGAAAATGTAAGTTCACCATCCTTCACTTTGTTCTGTGTGCACTGGGGGGGTCTCTCATTACATTTGGGGGGCTCTAAAAGGGTTGTTGGCTTTCCGAGGGTCCCGTAACAAAAGAAGACTTCCATATCCGCAATGTTGCTGTTTCCTGTCACTTATAGCTGGGTCTACGGAGGTGCTAAAGCCCTGAGATTAGTTTTTGGGGGGGCCTGATCACATGAGCCTGTCCTATGTCTTTGGGGTGGTGGGAACAATAGAAAACATGCCATTAGATAGCTCTAGATTTAGTTTGGGTCTCGTCCTAAAGTGACAACCCCAAATAAAATGCTGTAGTTGACCTTTGCGGCTCCCAGATGTTTTGTTTTATACTGCAGGTAGGCTAAGGATCTATAATTACATTTACGGGTCTCCAAATGGTCACGTTGCTCACTTTGTTGGGTTTTATGGGGTTTGGTGTGTTTTTTAGGGGTCCCTTGTCGAAGGAAGATGGGTGTTTACATCGTCGTGTTTTTTAGGGGTCCCTTATCGAAGGAAGATGGGTGTTTACATCCTCTTGTCACTTGTAGTGGGATGTGTAGAGGGGCAGAAGCCACGTTCTGTCCTGTGATATTCCGATGAGCCTCTGGTTTATTATTGGTGGTAAAACACTAACCAACATCCGATTGGATCTCTTTAGATATATATTAGACTTTTGTCTGGTGGTGCTGACCCCAAATGCTGCAGTCAAATTTTGGGGGCCTCCAGATTTAGTTTTTGTGCTGTGGGCTCTAAATGGTCACTTTGGGTTTTTGGGATCCCAAATTGATCCTTTACTGTTTCTTTTAGCAGGGTGTGTGGAGGGGGCTAACGCTCATCATGGGTGTTGGGATTCATTTTTGGGGCCTTTTGGTCAGTTAAGCCATTCATTTTTGCTCAGTTTTAAGGTTCACACTTTATCTGCTGGGGGTGCATTGTATTAGGCAGCTCTTTAAAAATAAATGTGCAGACAATGCACCTTCGCGCCCCAGAAAACAGACATCTACCTTTTCAGGGTAGTGCACCGCACGTTGTAGCGCACATGTAGCGTTGGGTCGCCAAGCTGAATGCATGGCACTGCGTCATGTGTGTTGCCACAATATAATCGTGTGAACTGGGCCTGAAGCCTATACACTGTTCTATTTTTTGTTTAATCCGTGGGCCGACTGAACAAAAAGGGAACAGATTCCTTCATCAATGCTTATGATTGATTGAGGAATCTCCCGCTGTTTCCTTTGTATTCTGGCAGCAGCTGTCAGAATGCTCGAATGGTGCGTGATTGCAGCTGATTGGCTGCAAGCACTGTTCGTTTGAAGATTTTCTAACCGGCTCCAACGATATTCTGATCAATGGATGTTGGCTGGGAAGGCACCCACTGTGCGAATTTTGGCTGGTTCATGAAGGGTTAGTCAAGTTAATATGGAATTCAGGAGCCATTCTGTCCATTTCAGGACCCAGAGGATTTAGTTTTTTTTACATTAGATTAGGCACCAGCTGTAATTTGTAAGGCACATTGGCGACCCGGCTCCTGGGATTTGGTTCATCAATAATATTGCTGTAGATTTAATTTGGGGGCTGGATCTTGGGGCTACAGACCACAAATAAGATGCCAGAATTAAAGGGTAGGTTCACTTTTTCAAGTGAATTTTGATAAATGGAATTACCTGCTCAAATCTGCCCTGGATACTTGTGGTTTGGCAAAGGGTCCTTCCCCTCCACCTGCACGGGTGTGCTATCTGTACCCGGCACTGATTGTCCTACAGGTTTTGAATTTCCTCACCGTGCTGAACAATCAGTGCATAAAATTTGTGAGGGAAATTCAAAATCCATAGGGGAGGGCTGTGCGGGGTATGATTTACGGGGTATGGATAGTACACCCGTACCAGCGGAGGGGAAGGAGCATTCGCTGGCAGGTAAGTAAGGTTGCGGGGGTGAGATTGGCCAGATTTAGGGGGGTAATTCCTTTTTCCCAAATTCACTTGGGAAAACGAACTTGCCCTCGCCACATATTATTCATCCTACCAATAATTAGGTTAAATAATACTGCTATGTACCCCAAAACCTCTACGTGTCATCTGATGAGGTGCCCTAAAAATTTAACATTGAGCTCCACAATAAAGAAAAACTTAACACCATCTTGAGGGAAATGAAAACTTTTCCCCTACAGTGTACAATAAAGGTTATCTTTGGGGTGGGCGACCTCCAGCCCTCCAGCTCTTGTGGAACTACAAATCCCATGAGGCAGATCCCCACAGATACAGGCATGACTCCCAGTGGCAGATGCATGCTGGGATTTGTCATTTAACCACAGGTGGAAGGCCGGAGTTTGCCACCCCTAGGTTAACTGGCTAGGGGACACATGGTTTTATTTACCTGATCCCGATCACATGGCAGTTGGTGCTCTTCTCCTCCTCTGGTCTGGCTGAGGACTGTCCCTCAGCACCCTCATGTATAATGCAGGTCTGTGGAGCCTGCATTGTGCTTGATGATGTCAGCAGTCCTTACACCACTGGAGCCCAGGTGAGAAGAGGCTGTGGGGACTGATCTAAAAGCCTGGCGGGAGTGGGGATCATGTATGTAAAACAGCTTTTTGTCCTGTCCCATAGGTATAAAGGCAGTGGCAGGGAAGTTTTTGGGGGACAAAGTCCACAGATACAGCGCTCGCTGAGGGGGGGGTTATTTTGGGGAATGATGCTGAGTGTGCGGATTAAGTGAGCGGCTACAAAGACATACGGGCCGGGGTGTCCGACTGATTGAAAAGGCAAAAAAAATAAGAGAAGCGCTGCAAACCAGATGGGGACTAAGAATGCTTGGATGCAAGGGTATTGAGTGGGAGAGAGAGGGTATAATTGGCCCGTGGTATAAACCAGTAATGTTTCCTGGGTATGGGTGATAAATTCATCGGTTGATCCGATTCATCCCAGAAGACATAAAGGTGTGATACAATGATGAGGTCAGGGTATAACGTTGATCAATAAAAATATAGAGACTCACCATTAGGGAAGGAGTGTTGCGGAGTCATCGGCGAGGCATAAGGGCAGAGGCAGTGTGGGGTAGCCTCATTCCATGGCAAAACCTCATTTCCCTAGATTTGGGCTTTGAAAACTTCTGATTTACAGTTCAGTGGGTTGCAGAGAATTGGGGTAATCAAAGCGTTAAGTAGAATGCTCAGCATGTACCTGGAATAACCGAGTTGCAAGCATGTTCCTGTTTGCAGGTGCTCAGTCTTTTGCCTTATCTGTTCTATCAAGGGCTAAGACATGCTCGCTTTAAAATTTGTTGATAGTACTCTCTCCCACGGCACGTAGTCATGTCGGTGATCTGTGTGTATGAATCACTTGTCCTGGAATAAAAACTAGTTTAAGAGCAGATGTGCTGCTGTTCTATAATCTCCATTTCATCATCTGACTTGTCCACAGACCCCAGGCCATTTATAAGCCATTAGAGTCAAGGCCATATGTAATAATCTCGGGGCCCCAAGAATGGATTCCAAACCGAGAAGTGCGTCACTAAGATCTTCTTCTGGGTTATGATCATTGATGGGATGGATCTGTCTGTACCAATATTATATTCATTGTCCCAGCAGCTTCTTCTCTCTACTCCAATAAAAATCCTTCTTTGTTTTTAAGGAAAAAGGAATCCTGAGATGATTGTACACCATTTAAAGTGACACTAAACTCAGGAGTTAAAGTAGTATTAAACTCTCACATTTTTTTTTCAATAATGAATCCAGATTTCAGCAATGCTTTGCTGGGCAAATGTATATTTGTTTGCCCAAATACTTACAGCCATCATGTTTCTGAACAGCTGCTTCCAAGTCTCTCAGCTCAGTTCCGCAAACTTCCTGTCCAGTACAAGATCACAAGGGAGAGAGCAGACCCCAGTAAGTGTTCATCTACTAGCTTGGAAAAGGGAGGAGAGGGGGCCAGGGGGGAAGGAAGTAGCTTGATTTGCTGTATCTGTGTGTTTGTGGGGACACACACAGCTTACTAGCAATCACACGGGTGACTCTATAGCACTCTGCTTGAGAAAGGAGTCACTCTCTAAAACAGGAAGTCAGGAACGGTGCTCAAGGGACCAGCTGATTCTGCAGGAAACTAAAACTTGTAAACAATAAAGAAGCATCATTCATTGTAAGCAATTTTATAGCATTTGAAATAGCTTAAAATCCTTTTGACTTTAATACCTGCATGACGGAATAAATGTCAGTCAAAGTACCGCAGCGCTGAATACTGAAAAATGGCCTGGATGGGAAGGGGGTTTAACACCGCGGATGTCAACTGGTTAAATAAAAAAAAAAATACATTCAAGTACCTTGAACCAAAATGTATCCTATTTGTGTATCACTCGGCTGTAGATCCTCAAATCATCTCTGAATTGGTGCTGACACTGTCCTTCCTTCTGGAGGGGGGCTACTTGTGTTCCCCATGGTCTGTGTGTTGTAATGTAGTCACCGTTCCAAGCTCCCTCCCATGATGGACTACAATCTCAATAGAAATTAGTAAACTAAACCTGAGATTGTAGTCAATCCCAGGAGTGATCTTGGAGCATTGGCTACTTTACAACACACACAGGGACCATGGGGAACACAAGTAGCCCCCCTCCAGAAGGAAGGACAGTGTCAGCACCAATTCAGAGATGATTTGAGGATCTCCAGCAAGTTCTTGTATGTATTTAAAAAAAAAATAATTCTTTAACATTACAATATTGAATGTATTTTTAAGATTTAACTCCTAAACTTAGTGTCACTTCAATGCACTCCTGATGAAGCACTTTTGCTTTGTCTGTCTGTGTACATGACATGATTAAAGTGTTGGTAAACGTTTTTGTTTTAGATATGGTAGGGAATGGTTAAAACCCTGCCAGTTCTTTTTGCTGTTGTGAGTGGGAGGTTTCCCTTCACGTGGTATCATGAAGACACAACAGGAAGTGAGAGGAAATCTTTAGAGAGTCAGGGGAATAAGCTGGCCTTACACTGAGTGAATTTCAGATGG